AGCTGGCTGTGACCAAGTAATGACCATAACCTTGCCCCTTGTCAGCTCTACTATACACCTGGGAATTCTGATCATTCACATGAACTTATAGGCCCATTGTGCAGATTGCTTTTTATTATATTATTTCTTGCCAAGTAGTATCTGGCATTCTGTGGCCACAAGGAAGATGAATCTTCACTAAATAAAGGGGACTTTCTTGAGACAGTTAAAATGTTTTCAAAATATGATCCAGTGCTAGAAGAGCATCTAATGAGATTAAATCAGAGCACAAGTAAACTTAAAGTATCAATCTCTTATCTTGCACCAAAAACTCAGAATGAGTATATAAGTTTCCTGGCAAATGATATGAAGAAGCTTACCATGGACATAAAGTCTGTGAAGGACTTTGGGATCATAGTCAACAGCACACTTGATATTTCATATACTGACCAGATATCCAAAGTGATCAGATATGTGAAAATCAACAACAGGAATGTTGAAATGAAAAAAAGCCTTTCAGGATTTTTCTCTTTAAAGGGGAAAAAAGCTGCTGACCTCAGTTCTGATATTCCTAAAAAACTGGAAAGTGATGAACTGGAGATAATGATGTACCATGCTTGAGGTTACAATAATACTCCTGCCAGTATGGCTGGAATCTATGGAGGTGTACAAGATATTTTTAAGGAAGAGAACAGGAAAGATAGTTTTAATAGACATGTGGACCATTTGCTTAATTTGTGTGATCAGCTCTCTTTTGCTGAAAATGTATTATGTGTGACATTTTTTGAAACCCTTGAGACAATGTTTTCTTTCTTTACTGTTTCTACTCCTTGATGAGATGTGTTAATTGACCATACTGGAGTATCAGTGAAAAGGCTATCAACAACATGTTGCAGTGTTCATCATGCTGTAGTTAAGCCAGTTAAAGCAAAGTTCTGTAAGTAAGCTCTTTGTCATTCACATGAAAATCTTGACACGAGGAGCAGCACACGGTCTATTACTCACTGACTGTGATTTCTTTCACTTTTCTGTTCTACCTGTACTTCTACTGTGATATAGTTCAGGAAGTTAATCTTATACAGCAGTACCTGCAGCCTAGGGGCTTAACTCTCTGAGGTGGTAACAGAGTTAGAGGCACTAAGACTTCTTCTGCCAAGAAGCAGTCATCTAGAGGAGCATTCAACTAAACGAGTACTTTTAAAACCAGATGAATATGGAGTTGTAGCAGAGAGAAGAGCCAAGTTCAACAAAAGAATGGAAGGGACTGGGGACCAAACAATGCTAAACTCATTCTGCAAGAAGAAAATAAAAGGGCAATGCTAGAGGGCATTGATGACTTCATTCTAAACTCCAGATCAGAGCAAGAGCCAGCCAGGATGTAACAGCTATGTTTGAGGCTGTTGAAGTGAAAAGGGTCATATCTGCCACTGATGAAGATTTAAAAGTATCTTTTCCAAAACTGATTCCTTTCAATGAAGTAGTATCCAAGAGTGAGGTTTTAATAGAAATACCAAGGCTGAGAAGGCACCTGAAGATACAAGAGATTGATCTGGAAGAAGTCAAAGACCAGACAACATTAGATGTTTTCACATTCATAGCTGAATGGGGCTTTGTAGAATCTCTCTTAACCCTTTCACACTAAACCTATGTGCCTGTGGCTTCCCTTGAGAGGAACTTTTCAAAGTTGAACTATTTGTGATCTGTCACAGGGCAGGCAAGGCTTTCCAATCTTGCAATATTATCAATTAAAAGTGAGTTGCTCAAAGGCATTGATTTTGATAAAGTGAGTCACAAGTTTGCAGGTTTAAAGGCCAGGAAAAGAAAGTTCTGATTTCGTCAAGATGTTCATTAAGTGATGAAATGCTTGTGTATTTGTTTCTGTTTATTTTTATGGTATGTTTTCACTTTTAGGAGCCATGGTGGCACAGTAGTTAAGCATTCAGCTGCTAACATAAAGTTAGCAGTTCGAACTTACTACGTACTCTGCAGGAGAAAGATGTGGCAGTCTAATTCTGTAAAGATTTAAAGCCTTAGAAACCGTATGGGGCATTTCTACCCTGTCCTATAGGGTCACTTTGAGTCAGAATCAACTCAACTTCAGTGGTTCCTGGTATTGCATTTAAGGATATACTTTCATATATATTTGTATATAACTTCTATGCTATTTGGGCCATGCCATTATTGATTATGAACACATAATCCATTAATGTATCTCATGAAATGGTAAAGTTTGGTGGAGAAACGAACATAAATTTGATGTAGGTCTTAAATTTATACCTCAAATTCTATTGTTTCCTTATCTAATTTTCATTTTACCACATGAAACTATGTGACTATAAATACATTTAGGCTATGCATATGATATTGTAATTTACAGGTGTCATTTTAATGTTGCTAGTTGTTTATGTCACTACTATTGCCATTACATTCTATGATATATGTGAATTATGATGTATGAGCAACATTAATACAAAAAACATTGCTTAGGATTCTGTATGGTCTGGTATGGGAGGAGGTCCTTGGGGATGGTGACACCATGAATTACCACAATGGATGACACCAACCCTAGTGACAATACTGCTTGGTGTTAAAAAGGATGCTGGAGATCATATGATAGAATTTTGTAACACTAATGAAGTACTCATTTGAAATTTCTGTTTTCAACAACATAAATGGCACCTATGCACATGTACCTTGTCAGATAGAATACAAAGGAATCACATAGACTACATCTGTGGAAAGAGATGATGGAGAAGTTTTATATCATGAGTCAGAACAATGCCAGGGGCTGGCTTCAGAGTGGGATCATCAGCTACTCATATGCAAATTCAAGTTGAAGCTGTTGTTGTTGTTGTTGGATGGCCCCTTCCTTGTTCTGAGTCTGATTTAGTCTGGAAGCTCCCCTGAAACCTGTCTACCATGGGTGACCCTGCTGATAGTTGAAATACTGGTGGCATAGCCTCCAGCCTCACAGCAACATGCAAGCCACCACAGTATGACAAAATGACAGATGAGTGGTAGAGTTGAAGCTAAAGAAAATTAAAACAGGTCTATGAGAGCCAAAGCATGACCTTGAGTATATCCCATTTGAATACAGATCATCTCAAGATTAGATTTGACACATTGAATAATAATGATGGAAGACCAGACAAGTTGTAGGATGACATCAAGGACATCATACATGAATAAAGCAAAATGTCATTAAAAGACAATAAGAAAGAAAAGTTAAAATTGAATGTCAGAAGTCATTCTGAAACTTGTTATTGAATGTAAGGTAAGTAACCGAAGCTAATGAAAGAAATTATCAAGTAAAAGATCTGAACAGAGGACTTCAAGGGTGGCTGGAGAAGACAAAGTATAGTATTGTAATGAAATGTACAAACACCTGGAGTTAGAAAATCAAAAGGAAAGGACACACTAGACGTTTCTCAAGCTGAAAGAACTGAAGAAAAGATTCAAGCCTCGAGTTGCCGTAGTTGAAGAATATATGGGAAGATATTGAACAACACAGGAAACATCAAAAGAAGATGAAAGGAATACACAAAATCACTGTCCAAAGAATTGGTCAAAATTCAACCATCTCAGGAGGTAGCATATGATCAAGGATTGATGGTATTGAAGAAGGAAGTCAAAGATGAACTGAAAACATTAGCAAAACACAAGCCTTCAGAAATTGACAGAATAGCAATTGAGATGCTTCAACAAATGGATGCAAAGCTGGAAGCACTTACTCATTGATGCCAAGAAATTTAGAAGACAGCTACTTGGCCAAGCAACTGGAAGAGATCCACATTTGTTCCCAATCCAAAGGAAGATGATCCAAAGGAAAGTATAAATTATCAACAATATCATTAATAACAAATGCAAGCAAGATTTTGCTGATGATAATTCAAAATTGGTTGCAGCAGTGCAACAAAGGGAACTTTCAGAAATTCAAGCCAGATTCAGAAAGATGTTTACCTGTGTTTTATTGTATATACAAAGGCATTTGGGGAAAACTACTGCAAAAGACCACTTTAAAGTGTTAAAGAGCAAAAAAGTCGCTTTGAACAGTAAGGTGTGCCTGACCCAAGCCATGGTATTTTCTATAGATTCACATGCATGTGAAAGCTGGACAGTGAATAAGGAAAACCATAGAAGAATTGATGCATTTAAACTGTGGTATTGGCGAAGAATATTGAAAATATCATGGACTGACAGAAAAACAAACAAAACTGTCTCAGAAGAAGTATAGCCGGAATGCCCCTTGGAAGTGAGAATGGCCAGCATTCATCACATATTTTGGTCATGTTGTCAGAAGGGACCAGTCTATGGAGAAGGATATCATGCTTGGTAAAGCAGAAGGTCAGCGAAAAAGGGAGAGTCCTTCAATAGTGGTTGCAATGATGGGCTCAAGCACAGCAATGATTGTGAGGATGGCATAGGACCCAGTAGTACTTCGTTCTTCTGGACATAGGTTCACTATGAGTCAGAACTGACTCAATGACACCTAGCAACAACAACAACATAAAACCTTTCAACTGTGTAAACCGTAATACATTCTGGATAACATTGCAAAGAATGGGAAGTGCAGAATACTTAATTATGAATCTCAGAACACAAATGCTTAGATGGGTTAGGAAGTAAGTAGAAAAACTGGCCAGGTATAAGGTATTAATTAAAGTTGACACTTGACATGACTCAGTGATCTAATTGGGTATAATGAAGACTTGGAGGACTCAGGCCTTCTCTAAAGCAGGCAGCAGCTACTCAGCTCCTGCTGAGAGCTGATACAGAGGATTTCAGTCCAGTATTATTGGATAGCAAGGAAATGAATATGAATAGCAAATACCTTATGAATAGCAAAGAAACACTGTTTGGTACATTACCGCGCACCTTTAGGAACAGTCTGTTTAGACTAAAAGGCTCTCAAAATAGGACTGGGAAAGAGCTGCAACAGCTGAGTAAACCCAGCCTTACTCATATGGAAAAGAGAAAGCTTTC